TTCTGGGCCCCAAGCCGGGGGTCGCTCACACTGAAGCCTCTATCCAGCCACTGTCCCTCCAAGGGCAACTGATATGGACCCACATGGACAGCACAGGGATGGAGGTGTCCACGCTGCGTGCCCTGTGGGACAAGGTGCTGCCGCTGCTATATCTTAGAAGCTTCCTTCCTTAGTGTCATCCTCCAAGTTGTAACAGACCTGAAGACCCCCTTTCTCTTCCCAAAGTCTCCAGCCCACACAGGTCATCATCAGCCCAGGAGCCAGGGTGTCCCTTGTTTTACTGTCTTTTCCTGGTCACTGGGAACCTGGCTTTTGCTTGTGTGAAGCGGATGAGCATTGTTTCCGTGAAGAACTGGAAGACCTTTGGACCATGAGCTGAAATCTGCTGTGGACTCATGCTCAGGGAGGCAATATTAAAATCAGGTCTTTCCAGGAAGGTCTGCCACTTCCATTTCCCAGAAGTGACTCAACCTGCAGCTCCAGAATTTGGAAGGCTGAGGCAGGAGGATTGCTGCAGCAGGCATGAGGCCAGCCTAGTCTACATACCACGGTCCTGTCTTTAAAACAAAGAAAAGGGGGCTCAAAACTGAATATCCAGCTGGGCAGTGGTGGCGCTCGACTTTTATCCCAGCACTCGGGAGGCAGAGGCAGGCGGATTTCTGTGAGTTTGAGGCCAGCCTGGTCTACAGAGTGAGTTCCAGGACAGCCAGGGATACACAGAGAGTTTTCAATCTAAAGGTAAAGATTGTGTGTGTGTGTGTGTGTATGTGTGTGTGTGTGTGTGTGTGTGTATGTGTGTGTGTGTGTGAGTGTGTGTATGTGTGTGTGTGTGTGTGTGTGTGTGCTAACTCTAGGCTCTCTGGGCTTGAAAAGACTCTAGCAACTGTTAAACACAAAGATTGCTGAGGGACATACAAAAAAAAGGAAGAGGAGTCATTGGCTTCTGCCGTGGAACATCAACTGCTCATGAATTAATCTACGCATTCGGTGCTGCTCCAAAATACTCAGAGCTTCTATCTCAAAACAACAAAAATGGTTTTGATGCTTACCTGGAAGAATGCATTTTGAAAAAGAAGAGAGGAGAAAATGTGTTCTGTTTAATATAAAACAATACATTATAAAATTGTGGTAACTTTAAAGGTTAAATAAAAATAGCTTAGTAGTCTGCAGGCAGGAAGAGGTGACGGGCAAGTTCATGCCAGCCATTACAGCTTGAGAAGAGAAGCGTCAGATGGGGAGGGGCTGTTCCAAGGTCGGGACAGCTGGGAGCCTCGAGGCAGCAAGTTAGATCTTAGCTTCATGTGTTCACAAAAGAAAACATGGTTCTATTAAATATGAAGTGTAAACACATGAGAGAACACAGTTTAAATACGAGTGAGTATTTACCTCCATTTGAGGTAGGAAAGGCCTTTTTATGCACCCACAAACACCAGACTCCAAAGCAGGAGTGCAGGCACGGATTTAATAGAAAAACCAGCATGTTAAAAACAACACTGAATACACTTGACAGCCTCAGGCAAACCTTGGAAAATATGGCGACCGTCTCTGCCTCAAATGGCTGTGGTAGTGTTTGCCAAAATGGGTTCACTTCTTAGGATGTAAACTAAAGCAGTGCAGGCTGTAATTATGTTTTGCTGGACAGGTTCCCCCTAGGGTGGTGTCCAGCATTGGTAACCATGCAGGGAATGGAGACAGGTACTCTTCCATCAGACTTATAAACTGTGGTGTGATGGGGCTGGGGAGGTGGCCCAGCCGTTCAGGGTGCTGCAGCTCTTCTGAAGGCCTCAGTTTGGTTCTCGGTACCCACATCAGGTGCTTCACCACTGCCTGTAACTCTAGTCCCAGGGATTCTGGTGCCTCTTTCTGGCCTCTGAGGGTATCTACACAGGCACAGCACACACTCAGACACACAGACATATGCATAAAATAACTATCTTTAAAGCAAAAATTTTAAAAGGTAAATGTATGACAGTTTAGGTTGCTTTTAGTTTTTAAAGAAAAATATTTATTATGGTGTGTGTGCCGTGGTGTGTACTCGGAGGTCAGAGGACAACTTTGTGGAACCAGTTCTCTTCTTCCACCTTCACATGTGTCCCTGGGATCAAACTCAGGTCACCAGGCTTAGTGGCAAGCCCCTTTCCTACCCGGAGCCCTCTCACCAACCCCAGCATTTTAAAGATAACTGTGAGGCACTGGGATGGGCAGAAACACTGCACTTAACACACTAGCGAATGTTTGCCGACTGGACTCAGGCAGCTGTGGACATTCCCAGTGGATGGTTTTGGAACACCAGGGATGCTTCTAGCGCACAAATGCTTCTGCCATGTTAAAGAGCAGGTTAGACCTACTGTGCTCGCTGTGTGGTAAGAAAAGTGGAGTTTAGATTTGATCCGGGTGATATCTTTTGTCTGGTGTGTGTGTGATGGTTATTCTTGGTTGTCTGTGGTGCTATATTGTGTACCCTAATAAAATTCGCCTGAAGATCAGAGGACAGAACAAGTCACTAGATTAAACATAGAGGCCAGGCAGTGGTGGCACACACCTTTAATCCTAGCACTCTGGAGGCAGAGAGCCGTCTGGATCTCTGAGTTCAAAGCCACCCTGGACTACATGAGATTGACTCAGTCTAGGAAAGAAACAGAGCTAGGCAGTGGTGGCACACACCTTTAATCCCAGTACTTGGGAATCACACACACCTTTAATGGCTGGGTGGAGAAAGGTATATAAGGCGTGAGGAGGCAGAAACTAAGTCTCTTTCAGGCTGAGGAGTTGGTGAGGTAAGAGGTGGTGGCCGTGGCTTGCTCTGCTTCTCTGATCTTTCAGCTTTCACCCCAATATCTGATACTGGGCTTTTTATTATAAGACCTTTTAGAATTCGTGTTACTATATCTGGAATTAACTAAAACCCAAGTGGCTAGGTACACCTGTGAGGGACTTTTTCTTAATTAAATCCTTTGAAGTGGGAAGACTCTGTCCCCCCTTTTTTTGAGATAGTCTTACTATGTAGCTCTGGCTGTCCTGGAACTCAATCTGTAGACCAGGCTGACCTCGGACTCACAGAGATCCACCGATCTCTGCCTCTGGAGTTCCGGAATTAAAGGTGTGAGCCAGCATGCCCGGCCCAAGAAAACCCACTTTTAATCCAGATCGTTTGAGGTAGGATGATAGACCTTTAATCCAAATCTTTTGAGGTGGAAAAATGAATCTTTAATCTGGGCCACACCTTCTGCTGGCAGCCTCTAGAAAGGACATGGAGGAAGGAAGCTTGCCCTCTTTGCCTGCTTCCTCTCACTGGCAAGTCCATTCCTTCACGGGCACTAAAGCCTACTTCTTTGGGATTTCAGCATACACTGAAGACCAGCTGAGACATCCAGCTCATGACTGAACAACTACTGGATTCTTGGACTTTTTGTTCATAGACAGCCATTGTTGGACTAGCTGGACCACAGCCTGTAAGCCACTATAACAAATCCTCTCTCCCACATATATAAATTATGTTTATGTATTATAGATATGAACATATATGTTCATGTGTGCAGATGCACATGTATATGTACAAATGTGTGTGTACATTTCCTATAAAGACAGGGGAACCTCAGATGTTCTTCCTCAGGAACAACTGTCCACCTTGTTTTATGAGACAGGGTTTCTCACTATCTAGGCTGTATGGCCAGCTAGTCGTAGGGATGCACCTGCCTCCACCTCCCCAAGGCTAGGATCACATGTGTGCACTACCATGCTTGGCTTTGATCCTAGGGACCCTTTGTCTTAGCAATCCTGTATCTCAGAAAGACTTCAACACATGAAAGGGCTATGCACCAAAGATGTTCATTGCAGTATTATTTATAATGATGTATTAGTCAGGTTCTCCAGAGTAACAGAACTTACATATGTATGTATGTATGTATGTGTATATATATATATATATATATATATATATATATATATATATATATATATATATATTTGGGAGTTATTAGAATGACTTACAGGCTGTGGTCCAGCTAATTCAACAATAACTGCCTATGAATCAAAGATCCAAAAATCCAGCAGTAGTTCAGTCTACGAGGCTGGATGTCTCAGCTGGTCTTCAGTAGACACTGGAATCCTGAAGAAGGAGCAGGCTCTAATGCCAATGAAGGAATGGGTGGCGGGGGGTGGGGCTTTCTTCCATGTCCTTATATAGGCTTCCTGCAGAAGGTGTGGTGTGGGCCAAATTAAAGGTGTGTCAAGATCCAAGATCCAGATTAAAGGTGTGTCTTCCTACCTCAAAGATCTGGATTAGAAGTGGATCTTCCTACTTCAAATTAAGCAAAAGTCCCTCCCAGATGTGCCCCTCCATCTTTGGGTTTTAGTTAATTCCAAATGTAGTCAAGCTGACAACCAAGAATAGCCACCACAGATGGTGAAAATTGATCACAGACTCATGAAGCTGTGGGTGAAGCTGGCACCATGGCCCAGTCACTTAGAGGATGTGGTATAAACCTTCAAAAACAGAGGCGGTGAAGGATGCTGGCATGAACATGCTGATGGTAATTGTGGCAGCTGTGGGAAACCTGGATGTAAGCTGCCTGCTATGATCGTGTTCATGAGCTCTGGCTCCGAAGTGAGCAGCTGTGATGGGTGATGCAACTGTCAGACACGCTTCTTTTGTTGAAAAGGTTCCAGCCCTCTTTAGACCTTCTAAAATATAATTTAAAATAGGGAGGGGCTTCTCCGTGGGTAAAGGTGTGTATTGCTGTCAACACCAATGACCTGAGTTCAATCCCCAGGACCCATGGTAGAAGGAGAGAACTAACTCTTGAAACTTGCCTTCTGACCCCCACATGTGTGCTGTGGCAAGTGCACACCTACCTCTACACACACACACACACACACACACACACACACACACACACACACACACACACCTATCTACCCATCCACTCACACATGCATGTACAAAATAAATAAATAAATGTAAAAAAACTAGTAATGAACCCCCTCCATACTCTATCTAGGGCTGGATCCTGGACGGCATCCCTGAGAGGCGGGAGCAGGCGCTGATGATCCAGACTGTGGGGCTGGCGCCCAAGCATGTCAGTGAGTAGACCCCTGGTCCCAGCTGCCCCGAGGGTGCAGTGTGAACCCTGCTCCCTCACACTGGCTCTCTCCCATCCTCTACCCTGGGCCCAGTCACTGTCCATGGGAGGGTTTCAAGGCCTTAGAATTCAGCAAGAAAAAGACACACTAGGTGAAATCCAGCCACAAAGCTAAGTGTGTTGAGGGCTTGCCATTTAGAAAAGAAGGGTTCCTCATCTCAGGAATCCCCATGCTGTGAGTCTCTTTAGAAAACCAAGGGAAGGGTGGCAGAGTCAAATCTCAAGATGTCTACACAGTGATTTTCCGCAGTGAAAATTGATGGCCAGGGACGTTTTCCACCATGGACTGTCCTCGGAATGGTTTAGCATCATCTGGGAGATGGGTGGCATGTGGGATTGAATATCATCCTACAGCAGAGGTCCTGAGATTCAGATGTGTGGCACCTGAGCCCTGCACACTGGTTTGTTCCTTTCTTTCCTGCCCAGTTGTGCTTAGTGCTCCAGACACAGTCCTGATTGAGAGAAACGTGGGGAAGCGGATTGACCCCATCACTGGAGGTATGATGGTCCCACCCCCCTCCAAACCCCAAGGGATTCAAGTACAGTGAGGGGATGCCCCAACCCACTCTCTGCTCTAGGCACCCCAGAGGGGCACACAGAAATCCCAGCAGGTGAGGGGAGAGAGGCATCTTGGGTGAAAGACAGAGTCTTGTTTTCAAGGAGCCAGACTCTCTGGGTTGACTGTGTCCAGGAGTCTGGGCTTGGGAGAGCTCACCTTGGGGCTCAGGGCCATGCACAGGGGACATGGTGCTGGGGAGGGGTGGGGGGCCTGTGTCCCTCTTCCTGGGAAACTATGTGCCCCACACTGCTTGCCCCAAGTGTGGAGGAATAAGGCTCTTGAGTTTCCTGAGAAAATTGGCCTGTGCCTCAAATGGGATCTTAAATCACCACATTGTCGGGGTTGGGGATGAAGGGAAGATACCTCTCTTGGGTTTGGTTTTCCCTGGACTTGGAGTGAGAGCTCAAATTGCTCTGAGGGTAAACTGAGTCTGTAGGCCCTTCTCAGTGCAAAGTCAGCACTCAGGCATCCGTGGCTGCCCTTAGTTCTAAGCAGAGGGGCACCACGGTCCTTTCCTTGAGATGAAGTGTCATATAGTCTAGGTCAGCCTTGGGCTTGCTATGGAGGTGAAGATGACCTTGAACGTCTGATCTTCCTGCCTCCATTATAAAAGGCCTAAGAATAGAGAGCCACTTGAGGGTCCCCGGCTTTGGAACGTCCTGGAGGGAGAATGGTATGCCAGCCATAGATTTGAGAGAGTGTCGTGACTCCACCAAGTATGTAAATGTCACAAGCTGCCACACTTGGTTTATGAGGTGCTGGGAATTGAGCTGAGGGCTTTGCACATTTGAGGCAAACACTACCAACTAAGCTACATCTCTCCGCAACCCCATGACTGTCTTTTTATTGTTATGGCCAGCAGCTGATGTTATTCGCGCATTGTTATATGTAAAAGCACTTGCTGGCTGGGAATGGTGAGCCACATCCCTGGGCAGTAAAAACAGGCAGTGCAGTAGAGCCTGCAGCAGCCCTGGGTGGGTACTCTAACTCTGTGCCTCTCCCTGTACAGAGATCTATCACACCACCTTTGACTGGCCCCCTGAGTCTGAAATACAGAACCGGCTGATAGAGCCAGACGGCATCTCAGAGATAGAGACTGCGAAGAAGCTGCTAGAATATCACAGAAACATCATCAGGATTCTTCCTTCTTACCCCAAAATCCTGAAAACCATCAGCGCAGACCAGCCATGTGTGGACATCTTCTACCAGGGTAAATACAACAGGCTGCCCCATGTCGAACCACACAAGGGCTGTGGCCACTCTAACCACCTGACCGCCCTGCTCATCCCACTATCCCTCAGGCTGGCAGCAGCAGTAGCTGGGGTGTGTGGGGAACCTGAGTGGCAAGTCAGTGATGGGCCATGCAGGGACACCTGGGTGTGACTATATCCCCAGCCACAGAAGATTTGACAGCATGTGGGGATAAAGAACGGGAGGGACATGATGGCAGCAAAGTCTTGAAGCCTGATCTTGAAGGAGAAGAAAGAGAAAATATATAAAAATTAGGACAAAAACAAACACATTCATTACGGACACAAAGCAGCCAAGATGCTCCATGAGCCAGGATGAGCCAGCCACCCACCGCGCACCACCATACCGCATGGCTGTCCGTATAAGTGATAGGCGCTCAAGGCAGCCTCGCAGAAATGGGCTATTTATAAATATTAAAGAAATATTTAAGTTTTGATGTCTCAAAATCCACTTATCTCCTCCTGTCTGATACCAGGGGGAAAAAGCATTTAAAGTGTTTTGACACAATAAAATGACAGCAGACATTTGAGGCCCTTGAAGGCCCCTTTCTCATAGGCTCTTTCAGATCTCTTCAAGGGGAAAAAGTGAGGCGATGATGTATAGCTCCGTTTGTAGGGTGCTTGAAGTGTTGGCTTCCACATAAAGCCCAGCATGGTGGCACATGCCTGTAATCCCAGCGCTCAGCAGATGCAGACAGGAGGAGCAGCAGTTCAGGTCATCTCTGTTACACAAAGATTTTGGAGGCCACCCTGAACTGCATGGGACCACGTGTTTCAAAAAGAAAAGACAAATCATTTTAAGCCGAGTGTGGCAGTACATCTCTGTAAGGCCAGTAGTCAGGATGCTGAGGCAGGAAGATAGACAATTTGTGGCCAGCCTGGGAAGGAGAGGATCATCCTGCTGCAAAATGTCTAATTTGAATTTGAAAAAACTCACAGGGCTACCGGTGTCACTTCACTGGTAGCACGCTTGCCCAGGGTGCCCGTGGCAGTTCCTGCCCTAGCAAAGTAGAGACAGGGACATCAGAAATGCAAAGTCATCCTCAGCTGTGCAGCAAATTTGAGGTCAGCTGGGGCTGCATGAGACCCTCACGTACAAGGGGGGAAAAGCAGTGTTGGTTCTTCGAGCATGAGGGTCTAGGTTTAATCTCCAGCATGCATGTAAAAAAGCCAGGTGTGACACTGTATGCTTATAATCGCAGTGCAGGGAGGTTCAGACAGACAGATCCCAGCTTCACCTATTTGGTGGGCTCCAGGCCAGTGAGACTTTATTTCAAAAAACAAGTTGAATGGCTCCTGAGATTGTCCTCTGACTTCTACACAAATGTGCACACATGTTCATGTGCACCTGTGTGCAAGCAAACACACATGCACACACACGTGTACATACACCAAAAAAAGTGTCATTTTGATTGGGTGTGGGTTTCAGACACTTCTGTTGTCAACCCTCTGCAGCCTTCTCTGGCTGGGGTCTCTCTGCACACTCTGAGTAACACCAGGCCCTCTGCCAGCTGCCAACACCAGTGGGCAGCATCTGGAAGGTGGTGCTGCTTGCCATTTCAGGTTGAGACTGCCTTGAATTTTCCAGAGCTCTGCATCTTGGAAAGATCTTTAATAGCATCTACCACGTTTATCTTATGCCACGGTTCCGAGTTTACACATTAATTACTTCTAAAATACTTAATTAAATTTAAAAGTTCATATGATCGTTCATAAAGAATTCATGCCTGGAATTGTAAATAAAAATGTGAGCATCTAAATATTAATTATTATTAATTAATAATATGGAGAGATAAATTGGAAATCGGGCTGCGAGATTCCCTCTGTGTTGTTTTTTTAATCTCAGTGCATCCAGCAGCCGTCTATTTCCAAAAAGAATAACTGGATGTGGAGACTGTCTGGGGGATCGTTACTTCTAATTAACTTAGTTATTTACTGTAAATTAAGCATCATTTGTAAGCAGGCTGCTTTGCTGTAGTGTCTGTGCTTTTTAGAGGTTCTGGACTACAGAAGGCCTGAGAGTTGAGAGCCATGGGAGAGTCTCCTGCTTTGGGCAGTTCTAGAGGAGGAATGGTACCCCAGCTGGAGCTTTGAGAGAGCTGTCATGACTCTACCAAGACTCCAGACAGCATTGACTGTACGACAGGACGAGAAGGATAGTGCCCTCGTGGAACGGCAGGTCAAACAAGTGACTGTTTAACTCAGCAGTTCACATCACACGGTGTGATATGCTCACGACGGTGGTGACCACAGCCTTGGTGGTGGTCAACTCTACCTTACCTGTGCTGCTGGTTCTGAAAAGACTGTAATCCCTAATGACCCAGTGAGACAGTCCTGTAATGAGGCCAGAGCTGAGGGCAGGGGAGGCAACTCGGCCAGTGGAGTGCTTATGCAGGCACGAGGACCTGAGTTTGGGTTCCCAGCCCCCATGTCTAAAACACAGCCGGAGAGATGATTCGGCTGTGAAGGCACCTATCACCAAGGCTGACAACAGTTCAATCCCCAGGACTCATACGGTGGGAGGAGAGAACTGAGTCCCTAAAACTGTCCTTTGACCTCTTCACATACACTGTGGCGTGTGCATGTATACAGACAAATAAATTCAATTAAAAAAAAAAAAACAACATTCAAGGCTGGTCTAATGGCACAGGCCTGTAATCCTCGTTATGGGAAAGCAGGGACAGGTAAACTCCAGGTTCAGTGAGAGAGACCTTGCCTCAAAAGCTGCAAGGTAGACAATGACTAAGGAAGACAACCAACATTGCCCTCGAGGCCCCATATGCAGGAGCTTTCATGTGCATATGCAACCCCTCCACACACACACATACACATACACGCCCCCCCCCCCAGAGTCCAAAGTCTGTATAATGAACAGTTGAGCTGGTTCTCAACTGACCTACTTTTTGCTTCACCGTACTGTCTATCCTCCAGGGGAAGACACTGACTATGTCTGAGCACATTTATTGGTTGTACCTAGTGGCAAGAGGCCAGGATGAGCATCAAATGCCCCTCAAACCAAGATTGGAAAATTCCATAATAGACACACCTACAACCCCCCCCCCCCCCAAGATGTCTTCCTGAAAGAGCCATGTTGGCCCAGCCCTTCCTCAGGATGGGATCTCCTTGACAAAGGAAGATTGGCAGGTGCCACTCACAGCTGGCCTGGCACAGGACAGCCGGGGGGGGGGGGGGGCGGAGGGAGGGGGCTTAGCAGGAGGTGAGGCCTTGGAGAGGAGACCTTGTCTTGAAGGCTGTGAGGGATTGGCTCAAGTCTGCAGCCTCTTTGGTGGCCAGCCATCCCAGGCAGGTACCCACCAGGCAGCTCTCTGGTGGCCCCTCTGTCTGTTCTCACTGCTCCCCTCTTCTGGGTGAGCACAGGAGGGGACCTGCTTGATGTGAAGTACTTCTTCCCTGAACTTTCTGGCATCCTGTGCCTTCCTACAATGAAGACTCCTCATTGTTTATGATGTTCACCCCTCCCTTCCCACCTCTTTCTTCATCAAATGCCAGAGGAGCAGCACAGGTCAGGAGAACATGGCAGAGTCTGCCCGCTCCTGTGACCTATTTCATTACTGCCTTTTTGGAGTCTTGAAACAAAGTTAGTGTCCCTGGAGTGAGGCCACACAAATTATTCTCCACCAATTCCTGAGTCCTTTAGAAGTCCTGCACACCAGGCCCTTCTCAGCCCGACACACTTATCAAAGCCTGTGTGTAACACACGGCACATACCTCCCCTAGGAGACCGGTCCTGGGGCTTCAGGTTAGAGGCTCGGGCTGGATGAAGACTGGAAACCACCTAACTGAGCAGTAAATGAGAAATGCTTTCATGTGTAGGGCCAGCCTCCCACCTACAACACACTCAGCCCCAATTTGAATTGGGGGCAAACACGGCTGCCTGCAGTATGCTGTGGAGCGATTCCAGGCCAGTGCTTAGAAACTGCATCCCTCCCTGGGACTTGGGTGCCTGGGCCCAGCTGTGCAGTTAGTCCCCCCCCCCCCCCCCCGATGATTCCTGGATGGTCTGAATGTCAGGTGTACAGAAGGGTCCTCCTGTGCTGCAAGCAGGCAGGGCCCAAGCAGGGGTGTGGGCGGGCTCTTTTCTTAGGACCTGGGTTTGATATTCTCATATCTTCTTGTTCCAGCTCTGACCTACGTCCAAACTGGTCACCGATGCAATGCCCCGTTCACCCCCAAGGTGCTGCTCTGTGGGCCAATGGGCAGTGGGAAGAGCTTGCAGGCAGCCCTTCTGGCCCAGAGATACGGCCTTGTTGACAGTGAGTATCTCACCCGAAGTGTGGCTTCCTGCCTCCTACTCAGGCTTGGTGTGTCACTGGCTGGTGGGGAAGAGACAATACCCATTCTCTTTCTTGTCTTTCTTGGTTCTTAACCCTTCCCACTTAGTTCGCCTCTGTAGGAAACTAAAGTTTTCCTTTAAAGGACACCATCATAAAGACATTAACCAATGAAACACATCCACAGCACAAAGGGCCAGAACATTTCCTGGCTGTCCATCTTCACACCCACTGGAGCGCTCTTCTCTCCGATGTCCTCCTGGGTGTTTCCAAGCAGCCCCTCCCTGGCCCTGCTGTTTCCTTCACGGCCTGGCTCAGCTCCCTGTAACCCAGGTCACTGTGATGGCTGGCAACACTTTCTGCACCAGAGGAAGACGCCTTGCTCTGCACAGTTTCAATAAATATTTTACCAGGCAGAGAGAAAAATATTGAAATCAGCTCTCGGGGTCTTTGGCGATGCAGTCCCAGGCGGCCTTGGCTGCTGGCCTGCGTTAGTGGGATCAAGGGCTGGGAAGGAGGGAGAAGCTGCTGCGGGCCCACAGCCTGGGTGCTGGGGACATTTAAAGGGCTGTCCCCGTGTGCCACAGCCCACCTAACCTCTCAGAAAACGACTTTCCCCAAATAGTACACACGTGCAAATATATCTAGAGATAGAATATAACCATGGTCACATTTTGGATAAATGTGTTTCTTTTGAGGCTTGTCTTTTAAAGACACGGGGGATGAGGTGGAGAGATAACCGTGCCGTTACTCCAGGCTTCAGTTCTTGGTAAGATGCGGGTTTCCACCTCTCCTTGTTCCCTCTCAGCCTGAAGAATTTCCTTTAACATTTCTTTCCCTTAACATCTGCCAGTGACAAATTCTCTCCCCTTTCATATGTCTGAAAATATCATTTCCTCGTCTTTGTTTCTGAAGAATGCTCGTTACATATAGGAATCCATGTTGACAGACGTGGTTGTGTTTTCTCTCTCTCTCTCTCTCAGCACTTTGAAGGTGTGTTCCACTGTCTTCTGGCCTGCGTGTTCTGATGAGAACTCAGATTATTTTTATGTCCTGTCACCCTGCCTGTAGCAGCGTCTCCTCTCCCCCTCTGGCTGCTTTTAGTATTTTCTCTTGCTCGCTGGCTTTTAGCAATCAGAGTATAGTTACATAAAGGAATGGCTTACTTTGTGTTTATTCTTCCTGGATGTTGTATCTGTCAGCAAAATCTGAAATTCTGCCACCACTGCTTTCTGGGTGTTCCGCGTCCCTCAGCTCCTCTCCCTATTTGCCGGGACTCTGGTGACGTGTGTGTTAGCCTGCTCATCCCAGCCCTGCCCTGTCCGCCGCCCTGTTCTGTGCCGTCTGTTTTAGATTCTTCCTCTTCTTGCCTTCAGACCCACTGGGGACAGCCATGTTTCTCATTTACTAGATTATATTCTCCAGTTCCAGGATTCTCATCTGGTCCCATTTTTCGGGTTTCCACTTCTCAGCATGAGGTCCCCATCTGTTTACTCATTTTAACTATCTTTTCCTTTAAGTTTGAAAACACACTTCTGCACCAGTGCTCTGAAGCCTGGTGTGCTAATTCTGACGGTCTATTGTCTGTTGATCAGATTCTGTGGTCCATTTCATTTCTTGCAAAGATTTGCATTTTTTCTAATTTTCCCAGTAATTTTCATTTTCATACTTGGACACTTTAGCACTTGTGTTGAGAGTGGATTTTGTGCTTCTGCATTAAGAATTTTAAGTTCGGGGGCTGGAGAGATGGCTCAGCGGTTAAGAGCACTGGCTGTTCTTCCAGAGGTCCTGAGTTCAATTCCCAGCAACCACATGGTGGCTCACAACCATCCATAATGAGATCTGGTGCCCTCTTCTGGCCTGCAGGTGTATATCCAGACAGAACACTGTATACATAATAAATAAATAAATAAAAGAATTTTAAGTTCGGGCTAGCAGGATGGCTCAGAGATGGACTCATGGCCTGAGTTCTAGTCCCAGATTGAACAAGATGACTGAGAAAAACTGCCTCCTTGCCGGGCGGTGGTGGCGCACGCCTTTAATCCCAGCACTTGGGAGGCAGAGCCAGGTGGATCTCTGTGAGTTCGAGGCCAGCCTGGTCTCCAAAGCGAGTTCCAGGAAAGGCACAAAGCTACACAGAGAAACCCTGTCTCGAAAAACCAAAAAAAAAAAAAAAAAAAAAAAAAAACTGCCTCCTGAGAACTTTCTTTTGACTTTCACACATGTGCTAAGACACCTGTGCATGCATGCATGTACACACACACACACACACACACACACACACACACACACACACACGAAATCCAGGTGACAAGGATCGCAGCCCAGGGCTACTTGTTATTGGAGCTGTAAAGTATGGCTTCCTGTCTTTCTCTGGTTCCCTGGCTTCCTATGAAGGAACTCAAAGATGCTCCCCACTGCTCCTTCCCAACCAGAATTGAAGGCTGAGCACTGCATTTAGGTCTCAGCCCTGTCACTTACCAGCTCTGTGACCTGAGTTATAAGCTCTTTGGGTCTCGGTTTCCCTATGAAAGGGCACCAGATGACTGTCATGACTGAATAATCAAAGGGCAGTGAGCTTCACAGGCAGGCTCTCTCACACTGTCTGTGTCTTGTGTTTTCCTCAGCTGGGGAAACTGCCTGCTACTCAGGCTATAGTACTGTGAGCATACTGTCAAGGACTAATCTGTGGTAGTTGGTCTTTGCTATGCAGATCATTTCAGGGTTTGTTTTGGTTTCTTTAGTATGGACAAGAAGATCCTTAACTGAAGGTTATAAAACCAATACTGTATGACTGACAACTCAATACAGATTTTAAGCCTTCTGGCTGGGACTGGAAAGATGGCTCAGTGGTTAAGTACTACATGACCATGAGGAAGGGAGTTTGGCCCACCCACCCACATAACAGGCCAGATGTCCCATGCATGCATGTATCCCCAGCTCCAAGAGGGGTAGAGACAGGAAGATCTCTGGGGCTTGCTGGCCTCCAGCCTGGCCAAGATACATAGAGCACCAGGTTCAGAGAGAGACCCTGATTCAAAGGAATAGGCAGAGAGTGAGAGAGGGCAGCTGATGCTCTCTTCTGACTTTTGTACACATGCGTGCATACACACACACACACACACACACACACACACACACACACACACACACACACACTGGGGCTGAGGAGATGCTCAGTGGCTAAGAGAATGTTCTACTCTTACAGAGGATTTGAGTTTGGTTCCCAGTACCCATGGCAGGTGACTCACAACTGCCTGTAACTCCAGTTCCAGGGGATCTGACGCCCTCTTCTGGTCTAAGCAGGCATCTGCACACATGTGCACAGACACACAGGCATACACATCATTAAAAAACAGCTCTGGCTTTGGAGAGGGATGAAAGCCTGTAGGTTTTGTTTGTTTGTTTGTTTTGTTTTTCATTCAGTCATCACTGACTGACCTCTCCCATGTGCTGGCCATGGCTTGAGGCCGAAGAGACAGTGGGATAAGACAGAAAAGCCCTGCTGCAGTGGCCATGCAGCCAAGGGGATGAAGAAAGTGGCAGCCAGCAGGTGGCTTCAACAGAATCTTCAGTTAGGACTTAGTGTGTTTGGGATATCCCTTGGTCCTTTCCTGGACCCACTATCCCTCAAGAACCTTGCCAAATGTAAGGGCTGGGGTACCACCATGCTCCAGGACCTCCTTGCATCTTGCACTGTGAATGTGAATGCAGCATGTCCCCAACTGCATGCTATTCCTCCACTGCAACCCAGAGAGCGCCAAGTCTGCTTGGCAGTTCTGGGTATAGCCAGGGCCCTGCAGGGGCCTCCCTGTCAGTGACAGCCTCGTTAGTGTCTTCCCGAGCGGTCCATTTTTAATGTGCTTTGGCAAATGCATTCCTTTTCATTCTGCTTCTTCCCCTCTCTTCATCTCCAACTTCCTTTTTGATATTTACTTCCTCTTGGACACCCCCTGCACACCCTTTTATATTTTTTTCAGCGACCTTTCCCACCCCAGCAGGCAGTGTGAGCTGGAGTGCCTTTTTTCCCATCCTTCTTTCTATTTAAAATTTAACGGTGTCTCCACTCCTCTCCCCCTCAGTCTGCTGCGGGCAGCTGCTGAAGGAAGCTGTGGCAGCCAAGTCAACCTTCGGGGAGCTCATCCAGCCGTTCTTTGAAAAGCAGATGACAGGTAGGCCACACTTTCCACTAACTGCCTCAGCCTAGTAGCTCCAGGGCAGGTGCTCTGTCCACCTGTGGGCATAGGTAGGGGAAACGGGGGCCGAGCATTTGGGGATGCAGACGTGCTGTGCTTGTGTGTAGCAGGCTTTCTTGGACCGCCAGCCCCCAAATCATGACATGGAGACTTATTATTAATTATGAATGCTCAGCCTTAGCATAGGCTTGTTTCTAGCTAGCTTTTTTCTAATTTAAATTAACCCATTTCTATTAATCTATGTGCTGCCCCAAGGCTTTTTTACCTCATCTATGTACTGTCCATCCTGCTTTTCTGCTTCCTCCGTGTCTGTCTGTCTGTCTGGCTCCCAACAGGCTGGTCCCCAGGCTGGCTGGTCGGCTCCCATTTTCTCTCTGCCCACCAGCCCCATTTATCCCTCCTCTGCCTGTTGGCTGTTCAGCTTTTTAATAGACCAATTAAGTGCCTTAAGCAGGCAAGATAAAACAGCAACACATTTTTACATAGTTAAACACATGCAGCATAAGCAAAAGTAACACATCTTTACCTAGTTAAACAAATGCAGCATAAATAAATGCAATACATCTTTACATAAACAAATGCAACACATCTTTACATAGTTAAACAAATATTCTATTCCACAATAGTTGTGGCTTGTTTTTTCAGGGAAAGTCAAGTGGCATCCATGCCTAGTCCCATGCCAGATAAGTCACACTTGTGGTGGCTTGCCACTGGTGGTTTAGAACATTCCATTTCTTCCTGTTTAGACGGTTCACTTTTCACAGATGGCCCAGAGGACAGCTTGCTAGGGAAGCAGGATCAGATAGCCTTTCCATGTACCCTGTATCATCTACAGTCTGAAAGCATTCCTGGATCTGACTCTCCAGAAAGGGTACCTCTGAACTTTCTGCTAGGTCAGCTTCCTGAGGCAGGGAGTGTTGAGCAGCTTGAGAACCAGTGTGTACTGCAATGCTTTCTGGCCTGGTTCAAATTCTAGTACTGCCTCAACCAGCCATCATGTGGCCCCAAGAAACCCCCATGTGTCTCTCAAAGGTCCAAGCATCTTGGCAGTGAGGTGGAGAGAGGAATCTATGTGTGCAAGATTGTCATGATCACTGCCTGGACCATCCATTTATGGGGCCCAGGATAGCAAGGGCAGCTGTACTGCAATGCAGCCCAGCTGGTAGAGTGTCCTGCTAGGCATGCATGAAGCCCAGGGTTGGATCCCCAGCATCACATAAAATTGCATGGTGCTGCACACCTGAAATCCCAGCACTTGGGAGTTGAAGATTACTCTCAGCTACATAATGAATTTAAGGTCAGCCTGGGTCATGTTTACAAGTCCCGCCCCTGCCCTACACGGTGCCAGGTTCCACACTGCAGATTTGTGCACTGAATGAACGAACAGGATGCCAACGCATGTAGCTAGGTGGCCTTGGCTTTTGCCCTGTGCCATACTATTCACGACTATGTGAAAACCTCGGTTTACCAGCAAGCACCTAGGAAGTCAGAGATAAAGGCAGTGGCTAAGCCAAGGGACAGAGCAAACAGTCACGGACCCTTTGACCCTTCCTGTAACATGTCCACATGCCTCCCCCCGCCCCCCCCCCATACCACACCAAATATGGAATTACAAAAAAGTAAGCATTTGAGTAATTTCCAAGTTTGCATCCCTTGGGTTATTTTATGAAGTGTGTTTTCTCATGTCTATAAGCTTGACAGCATGCCCAATTCTCCATTGAGGGATTAGATCAAAAGTCATGCCCATTAGCAATGGCATATGGACTGCTGTCCCTGTGGCATGCCTATGTCAGCGTGTGCCCGCTTCCTCCATCTCTTTGCCACCAGCATGGTCGTCTGCTGTTGCTGATGTAACAGACTGCATGGTTCAAGACAACACAAGTTTATTTTATTATGGAGGCCAGAAATCCTGAACCAGAGGGTTGTCCAGGCTCTGGTCAAGACTGTACACCTGCCTTCTTCTCCCAGCTCCTAGAGGCTTCCGGTATCCCTCGGGCTATTAGGCCCTCCTCCCTTTTTGAAGCCAAGCGGTGTAGCATGTCTGTCCCAACTGTCACTCTTCGTCTCTGTCTCTCTCTTCTGCTTCTCCATGTGGACTAGGCTGGCTTGAACTCACACAGATCTGCCTGCCTCTACCTCCCGAGTACTGGGATGAAAGGTGTGCATGCCACACCCGCCTATTCCTGGCTTCTTATTCCAAGGACTGAAGTGACTCACATGGATGTGCAAAAGTAGAAAGGAAGCTTCAGTGCAAAGCAAAACCACAGTGCAGACCAGAAGCACCCTGTCACAGTGTCACGGGAGGGGCTGTTGTTCAGGGCTTTCAGAGAAGGAGGAGTTTGGTTGCTGAGGAGCATAGTGAAAGCTGGTCTTTGTTTTGATAAACAGATCTGGATTGTATAAACCTTCCTTCCCATAATGCATCTGGTTTTAACCACATTCACTTAAGCATAGGCATAGATGCTAAATAGAGAACTTGTTCTTCGAGGACACAGTTTTTCTTACTGCACATGTACCTAAAACCAATCTAATCTGTCCCAACCCGCAGCCCATAGTTGTTGGGTTCTGTCCAGGATTGAGTGGAAATGGTGTGTTACAAGGGACCACTAAGGGGAGTGTACTGGTTAGTTTCTGTCAACTTAACCTCAACCTAAAGATACCTGGGAAGAGGGAACCTCAATTGGGAAGTTGCCTCCATCGGATTTGTTTGTGGCCATGTCTGTGGGCTTGATTGTTGATTTGTTTGATTATTGATTGTTGTCTTTCTTGATTGTTGATTGATGTGGGAGCCCACTGTGGGTGGTGCCATCCCTAGGCTCAGGGCACTGGGTCGTAAAAGAAAGGTAGTTGAGCAGGCCATGGGGAGCAAGCCAGTAAACAGCGTCCCTCCATAATCTCTGCTCAGTTCCTGCCTCCGTGACTTCCCTCTGCCCTGGCTTCCCTCTACGATGGGCCATAACCTATAGGCCAAACAAACCCTTTCCCCAAAGCTGCTTTGTGTCATGGTGTTTATCAGCGCAACAGAAACCAAGCTAGGACTGGGAGTAACTTGTTTCCATCATCTAAACAGGCATAGGTGCAGCTCGATGCGGACAGGAGTCCTTAGGCTGCTGAACAGGCTACTGAGTGCTGAGTGCATTGTTTGGGCAGGGGCATGTGCATGGTCCAAGCCAAGCAGACACTGAGGTTGCTAAACTCTTCCTTATGGGTATAGATGTCCACTGGGGGCTGGGGAAGTGCTCTTCAGCCTGCCAGAAAAATAAGCTATGATGGTATTGTGTTCCTCAAAATATTGTGTACCCTAATAAACTTATCTGGGGTCAGAGAACAGAAAAGCCACTAGATACTTACTTAGGCTAGAAAATGTTGGCACTCATGCCTTTAATCCTAGCATTCCAGAGGCAGTAATCCATCTGGGATCTCTGTGAGTTCAAGGCCACATTGGAAACAGCCAGGCATGGTGACTCACGCCTTTAATCCCAGAAAGCAAGCCTTTAATCCTAGGGAGTGATGGTAGAAAGCAGAAAGGTATATAAGGCGTGAGGACCAGAAACTGGAAGCATTTGGCTGGTTAAGCTTCGGGCTTTCGAGCAGCAGTTCAGCTGAGATTCATTCTGGATGAGGACTGAGAAGCTTCCAGTCTGAGGAAACAAGACCAGCTGAGAAGTTGGCCGGGTGAGGTTAGCTGTGGCTTGTTCTGTCTCTCTGATCTTCCAGTATTCACCCCAATAACTGGCCCCAGGTTTGATTTTATTAATAAGACCTGTTAAGATTCCTGCTACAATAAGCTTTGCCCATCTGTTTTTAATTGCAACCACCTTTTGATTGCAAGCGAGGTTGGTAAGGTTGAATATAATTTGATAAGGTAATTGTTCTGTGTATTTCAGTTTTTGTGAATTGCTGTGGCTTGTGTGTCTCTTTCACAGGGTTTGTTTATTACCGCGCTGGGGATAGAACCCAAGGCCCGCACTGTTCGCACTGTTGGGATGCGCTGCCCCGCCCCACACCCTAGCCCGCAGTAGGTGTCCTTTGGGCTCTCTGCTTGCCTCAGCCGCTTTGCAAATGCTCTTAAGTATTGTTGGTTCTCCCACCAGGTCCTCACGCCTACTGTAGACTTCAGGTCACAGGCTGGTTTGGAAGATTTGGTATTGTTGCCAGGAGTGTGGCAGCTTGTTCCCGCCCCTGACAGTGACAGTGGGGGTGCCACTGTCACCCAGGAGATTCTTCTAGGGTGCTGTTTATTGCTTCTTTGTGGGGTCCTGAGGCACATGGCCCTCAAATTTTCTTCCTCTGCCTTTCTCATTGGGTGTGGACGCCAGGCTTTTGACTTACTCAAACCATATCTAAGGCGTAATCAGGAGCAACGGGGGCCGCTTCCTCTCAGGAGATCTGGCCCATTACTGCATACAGTGGCTCCTTCAGCCTCCACCCAGACACACCGAGGAGGCCCTTCTGAGGCCTAGCTGACAGGTGTGGCTTTCACTGTGGTCTGGGGCCTGGTGACTATGGAGACAGGTGTGTATTTCTCTGGCTGGCTTCCCTCCTTGGTGTTTTGTGCTGTTTTACCCCTCCACAGCCTCGTGTGTTTAGACAATAGACCCTCAGCCGTTCACCTTCCTACAAATGAGTGACACACCCAGCGCTCTCAGACCTTCCCAACAGAAGCAACACACAGCATAGCAAGAAGTGCATTTACATAACATGACCACTCAGGGCCTCATTAGTGGGCTTCGGAGAGGCTGCCAAGCCAGCCAGAGTGCCGGCCTTGAAGAGGGGACATGTGCACCGCTCGAGCTGGAGGGGCCCCAAAATTTGGGGCGGGGGGAGGCGGGGGGCGCTAATGATTCTCCACAGTTGAGTTTTGAGAGGAGGGTGAGACGGAACAGGGGACCATCCACAGCCATGCCTACTTCCTGAAGGAGGCTGTCTGAGAACCAGTGATGTCTATGAGTCAAGAATGCCCTAGCCGACAGGTG